ACAACCCCCCCCCCCCCTCCCCCCCCATTATAAAAACCACATCCACCTATTCGTAATTACCAAAAAACCCTGAGGTTTGTTTCCATCTTACACCAACCCCTTACAATGTGACTTTTCACGGATTTTTTTTTTAATTCCAAGGAATAGACATTACACAATTTCAGATATATTTTTTACTCACCTATTTAACAAAAGGTATAATAGATCGTACACATTTTCTCTTAGAAAACTCGATCAATGGTTAATCAGATGGGGTTTTTCTTGTGAAATGACCAAGTTAGGTGTAGTTGATAAGACCACCTTCTTATGTATGTGGAATCACTATCCTATTTTCTTATGTCATCATTAGTGAAATGGATTAACCTGTGTAATGAAAAATTAATTCAATTACGTGGAAATAAATTGGATTTGTATCAAATAAACCAATTGAATTAATGCTATAACATAAATAACAAAAATAATAAGATCTGAAATTTGAGTACAAAATTTGATGAGTTGGTCTAAAGAAAATCTAAATTGTTCCATAATAATTAAAAGAACAATCGTGGGATATGATTGTGTTTGGCTGCTATTGTAATAATATTATATTATATTATATTACAATGGCAAGCAAATTTGTTGTTCTTGTTTGACTCCAACTCACGTTGATAATTTAATTTTGGCACCGACTATTTGCAATTACAAAATTTACTTAGGGTAAGATCAAATTAATTTTTTTATTAAATTAAATATAAAAAGACTATAATGACCTTAATAAAATACAAACAAAATAAAAACTCTTTTATCAATTTACTTTTGTAAGACCAAATTAAAAAGGAAAAATTAATAAATAAATAAAGAAAAAGCAGAATTGAAAAACGAGGAGAGAAGAAGGGAAGAAAAAGAAAAAAAAAATCAATTGCCGCAGACTTGCCGCCGCCCCGTCGTCATCGGTGTTGAAGTTCACCACCTCCCACGTTGCCGTTGCAGTCGACAACCACTAGAATCTACCCACCACAACAATGACGAAAAACAAGTAAATTAAATTACTTTTTGAATTAACTTTTTTTGAGAAATAAAATGTGATAAACATGATTTTGTTGTAAGAATAATGAATACAAGTCATTTTAGAACATAATTGATGATTTTAGGGTTCAATTCTAGCACTATTGTTGAAAGAGTTGCGGTTTTACAAAAAACGACCTGTACTTGTCGATGTTTTGGTAATATTTCGACATATTGGTGTCGATTTTTTCATCTTATTTCGACAACATACCATTGTCAATTATTGAACTTTTTTTCGACATCTCAGTGTCGATTTCTGTACAAAACTCTGCAAGAAAAACCGGAACTTTGTATACAAAATTGCAACAGTGAAAAAATCGACGCACCAGTGTCAAAATATGCACCGAATATTGACACACCAGTGTCGAAAAGTTCAATATAAATCGACATTAAAGAGTGTCGATTTATGTTGAATTTTTCGACACTGGTGTGTCGATATTCAATGCATATTTCAACCTGTATAGTCGAATTTTTTGTACGTGAAATGAGGTGCGAGAAAAACGATCATAAAGTACAATATTTCTTACCCCTTTGTGTTCTTCGACTTTAGAATCCTCAATATTTATGTGGTGTGTATTCATAATGTCCTTCTTTACAAGTTTTAGTAAGATTTGAGGGTTTTGTGTGATGAGGATTTTGGAGAATATGGAAGATTTTTTTGTGGAAAAAAATGTGTAAAATGAGTGTGAAGAAGAAGAGGTTGGGGTTTTGTTGGGGGAATGAGTTCCCTCTCGTTTTTTTTTTCTTTTTTTTTTTTGGTCTTGTAATAGCAATTAGCTTAATTTGAATTAATAATATCTAAATTAATTTTGGGGTTATATTTGTAATTTCCAGTCTTGATCTTAGTAAGTTTATTTATATTTTGGTCTTGCATGAAGTAAGGTCTTGCACTTAGTAATTTTAGTCTTGCATATATTCGTTGCCTTTAATTTTTGTTTTCTCTCTCATCCAAAATTCAAGAGAAAAACTTATTGGTTTAGACATGTTATGCTTTAATATTATATACTTAAGAATTTATTAGGGATAACCCCTTGTTGAGATTTTCTAATGAGGTAGATCCATGGGATTTTTCCCTCTCTGAGATACACCAAAATATGCCAACTTGGCAAAATATATTATTTAATTTCCCTGTAATATCCCTGTTTTATTTTTAAACGGTATTTATTTCCTTAACTACGTGATATGAGATTGCTGATACGTTGCCTAAAATCACGGAATAAAATTACATGAGTATATTGGCGGTTACGTTATTATCAAATCGTGAACCATCGGCTTTGAAGAATTTTTCCATCGTTTCATCGTTTCCATCGGCTTTTAAGAAGTTTTCACCGGCGTGGAGGTAGGTTCGGATCTGAGCGTTCATCGTTGTTCGTCGTTAAGCGGGTATGAACTTTTTTCTCGTTTTTATTTTCGCTGTATTGTGCAGGGGTTGTTGTGTTATGGTGGGTAGACATTTTAAGATTTGTGTTGATACGTTGATTATATTGGTAATAAAGTAGATCGTTTCTTAAAAAAATACGTCGTCACATATACATCCTTATTTTGGCTGATGATGTTTGTTTGGAAGAGGATTCACAGAGTTGGCAGAGAATGGTTCACGCAGTCGAACCATAATTGTTTTCATTGAGTGCGTGAACCATCAGATGGAAAACGATGAAACGCTGGATAAATTCTTCAAAATCCGATGAAAAACGATGTCGGACCAGAGTTGTTTTCATTGAGTGTGTGAACCATCAGATGTAGGACCAGAGTTGTTTTCATTGAGTGCGTGAACCATCATAAAGAGTTGTTTGGAAGAGGATTCACAGAGTTGCCAGAGAATGGTTCACGATGTCGGACCAGAGTTGTTTTCATTGAGTGCGTGAACCATCAGATGTCGGACCAGAGTTGTTTTCATTGAGTGCGTGAACCATCATAAAGAGTTGTTTGGAAGAGGATTCACAGAGTTGGCAGAGAATGGTTCACGCAGTCGGACCAGAGTTGTTTTCATTGAGTGCGTGAACCATCAGATGGAAAACGATGAAACGCTGGATAAATTCTTCAAATCCGATGGAAAACGATGAAACGCTGGATAAATTCTTCAAAACAGGTTGTACAAGATTTGATAGAAACCGCCAATATACTCACGTAATTTTATTCCGTGATTTTAGGCAACGTATCAGCAATCTCATATCACGTAGTTAATGAAGTAAATACCGTTAAAAAATAAAACAAAATAAAAAAGGGGTATTAAAGGGAAATTACATAATATATTTTGCCAAATTGGCAAATTTGGGTGTATCTCAAAAAAGGAAAAATTAATTCGATCTACCTCATTAGAAAATATGAACAAGGGGGTTATCCCTAATAAACCCTTTATTTAATTTTCTTCATCTTCATAAACTTTTGGTAACACAAATTCTTTATAATAAATATTAATAAT